TTCGGAAGAACATATTTTCTTTTGGACACTCTTAATCCTACTCATCCAGTTTTTTAAATACCCCCCCCCCCCCCTTTGTTTCATTTCGAACAGATGAAACATTAAAATAAATAAATAAAAAGGTAAATATTTCCACCAAAATATTCTGTAAACATAACAAAAATGTTCGAAAAGGGAGTAGAAGGAAAGCTTATCCAGTTCTATCCCCAAGTTTACATGCAGATTCTGAATCAAACTCGTGATTCAATTTATACAGAAATACTCGTACATGCATGTGTATCTGTACACGCAGACATGCATGCATAGCTACATACACATACATCAATACACCTGCAGATACAAATTTACTCTATACCACCTACAGATCAAAGCTCAATATGCAAACACACGTATTAACAAATTAACAGCTGGAATAACATCAATTTGTCTCGTTTGTTTTTATACACATTCATTTTGTAATCCTTATATTTTCTCTTATATATTTTTACATGATTTTATTTTCAGCGTGTAATTTGCTGAGGCCTGCAGAGGCCGAAGACTTGATGTTTGTTGCCGTTTGTCTGAGCGACGTACGGTCCCACGTCCATTTTTAGGGCAGCAGACCACGCTGAAAACGGTTCCCACATTTCTTTTATTACTGTAGAATGAGGAGCTCCAAAATATGTGAATAGTCTTGTCATTTTGATTGAATATTTTAGTTCGCATTTCAGTTTTGATATTTTTTTACATGAGTGTATTATGTTTTGTTGTTTCTTTAGAGAATTTGTCCAATTTATGACAAGCTGAGTTCCAATATCTTTCAAACCTAAATAAAAAAGTACGCTACTGAAATGAGCACTTGGCAATTAATTAATTAAAAACCTAATAAAGCAGCCAAAAGCTTAAACCATTCTATCATTATAAATCGTTTTATTAATGAGCTCTACTAAAATTTGGGAGTCAAAAAAAAAAAAAGTTTCATCTCATCTGGACTTTTCTCTTCACACAGAAACAGGAAGCAGAAAACTGAGCAGCAACACACCATGTGCATTATATCTGTTTTTATTGTGAGAGAAATATATTTTTACATTGTTCACCACCCCCCAGGACGAGGATATTACATAAATAAAACATTCTTACAAAATGCAGCAAAATAAATCACAAATTAAAACAATTTGTTTTGCTTTTTTTTCTTCCTTTGTTTTTTTTTTTTTTTTACACTGGATTTGTTTTTATACATAAATATTTACAGGTTTTGATCATTTTTACATTGCTGAGAGTGAAACAGTGTACCAGTTGTTCAGTACAAATATTTTCTCTGACTGAAAGAGGTATTAAAGCCCTCCTCTTCTTCTCCTGAGAAGATGCTGGCTTCTACTCTAGTGCATTTTAATCGTAAAGATTTAAGGCTACGCGGGGTTCACCTGACAGACGGGCCCACCTCGTGGACAGGCTTATCATCAGTGGGAAGGGGGAGTGAATTCTCCTGACTCTCTTCTGTTGATTGTCCCTGGCAAGAGACGGGCTTGTGCTTTCCGACCCTCATCTTCCCCCCACATTGAAGCTGCTGCTGCTGAATAACCAATTACAGCCTGACAACGTATTTGTTCCTTCAGTCGATTACAAATACCACGGGGAAAATGTCACGGAGCGCGAGAGCCCACGCTCCAAACATTATCTCCGTAAGCCGATGACCTGCTGAAAATATGTGTCAATTTCTCACAGCAGGTTGTCTTCTTAAAAAAATAGTTTCTGTTGTGCGAAGAACAGAATATGAGTTGTGGCTCCCAGTAGTCGAAATGTACGAAGACTTGAACAACAAGCTCCTCTCTCCTTCGTATCTTTCACAGGATTATATCCATAAACAAAAGACACGAAGCAAATAACCAGCAGGAACCACGAGCCTCTTAAAGGACACACTGAAACAAAAAACTCCCGTACGGGAGTCCAGTCCTCATCGCAGACTGGGGGTTAACAGGTGTACATTCAGACAGTTTGTGTTTTTGTTTGAAAAAGAAAAAACAAACAAAAACACACTTGTTTTTCGTTTATTAAACAAAAATAAAAAATCGGATAACGAGCGCTCACTTTCGATTATAATTTCATTTTGACAAGTGATCTGACCCGAAAGTTGTCTCTGCACCGCACCATGCTTGTGTACACACGTCCAAAACAGCAGATTTAAATTTGAATTAATTTGATTTTTACTCACCAAAAACCTTATATCCTGACTTTTTTTTTTGTATATAGATTAAAAACACATAAGAACAGAGAAAAGTATACGGGGGCTTAAGCCCAATTTGAAGCATCTGATCTCCACGGTAACTGATGCTGGCCACATCACTTAATCTGACCTATACACATATATATATATATATACACACATATATATACATATATATATGTATATATATATGTATGTATATATACATATATATATACATATATATATATTTATACACATATATATATATGTGTGTATATATGTATATATATATATATATATAGATATTTGATTTACATATTTACATAATAGTTTCTTAGGATCTACTGTGGGATGGACCTTTACAAGAGATCCTTCCTGTCTACAGCCATCAGTATCTATAACATCTCTTAATGAAATGAGGATAACGAGTTATAACAACAAAATAATTTCCCTTTGGGCTTAATAAAGTATTTTTGAATTTAATTGAATTGAATATATCTACCCGGCGACGGACTGTTTTGTATGCGATACCAATGTATTAACAACTTCTTCTTCATCCCTGATCTGGCCTTGTCTTTTCTCCTCCTCCTCCGTTGATGCCATGACTAAATTTGTGAGAAATGAAAAAATTTGTCACAAGCGAATTAAAATCAGGTCCAACATGGCTGCGGGAGTGTCTGCAGATTTCCTGTTGGGCTGATCTGATGTGTGGGCTGCAGGGTCAGCGCTCCCTGTTTTTTAAAAATTGTATTGAACTTTTTATTAACAATATAAACACAGAACACGGCTGCGGCTGGAGCTGCCAGCTCTCGTTTTTTTTCCCCAATCTGTCAATCAATCTAGTAGGCGTGTCAGCAAATGACCAATTGGCAACCTCAATTTGTCCCAAAGGTAAACGCCCCTTGTCTGTGAAGCTGCTCTGCAGCCACTCAGGGTGTACGGTCGAGTATGAAGTCTCAACCCTTCGCGTACGTATGTACGCGCGTACCTAGGGACTTCACTTCCGGATTCAGCAAACTACTGTCTCTCGGAATTTTCTCTGTTCTTATGTGTTTTTAATCTACATACAAAAAAAGTCAGGACATACGTTTTTTGGTGGGTAAAAATCAAATTAATTCCCCTGTTGTTTTGGACGTGTGTACAAGCTGCAAGCTACACGGTGCTGGGCAGAGAGAACTTCCGGGTCAGACCACTTGTCAAAAATAAAATCATGATAATCGAAAGTGAGCGCTCGTTATCTGTTTTTTCCATTTTCGTTTTGTGCACAAAATCAGATGATGCTTCGTTATCCGATTTTTCATTTTGATTTAATAAACGAAAAAAAAAGCGTTTTTGTTTTTTTCATGTTTTCTTTCAAACGAAAAAACAAACTGCCTGAACGTAGCCTGGACCGTACACGGACCTAAAAAGCAGGGACACTGTGTGGTTGCTCACGACAGAAGGATTATTTTTATTTCTCTTCTAACTGCTTTCTACCTGTCCAGCAGGTAGCTCTGCACCCCAAAATGTTTGCATAATGGGTGTAAACCATTAAGACCAGTTTCATAGGAAACACTCTATAAAAGCCTCTTCTTTGATCTAAAACACAAAACAAACAGAACCAAAAGGTTTTTTATGCACAAGATCATCAACTCTCTTTGGATCGTTACTGCTGCTAATTAAAAACAAATTAAACAAATGTGTGTGTGTATATATATATATATATATATATATATATATATATATATATATATATACATATATATATATATGTAAACACAAAAAACTCTGAAAACAACTCCTTCAGGACCAAAGTGCTTAAAACCATTGAATAATGTGAAATTAAGAGACTCAAATTTAGTCATTAGACGATAACACAGCCACACGTCTGGTCTCTAAATCAACACACTCCTCTTTGTTAAAACCTGTGTGTGTGTGTGTGTGTGTGTGTGGCTCTATAATCAGAGCTGAAGGAGGGAGAAGGAGAAACTTGAGCCATTAGTATGCTACCTGCAGACTTAAACGCAATTAAAAGACGAAGGAAAGCCCCCGTGTCGGCGCCTCGATGAAAGATGAAGCTGCAGAAAAGCTCATTGACAGGCAGATAACGCGAGGATCAGGCTAATATCGTCCACGGCTCTACAACACACTAAAAGGATATGGATTGAGCCGTTTGACACCAACAGATAGCACGCGCCTCGATTCTTTTATTACTACGGAGTCTTGAGGACAAAAAAAAAAAAAAAGGCAGAGTTTCACTCCAACATGAAGACACCCCTGCTTTAAATAAATCACCACCTCATGGAGAGTCATGACTGACAGCGTAACTCCATCGCTGACGATCACTGAACTCATCACGTGCCACATCCATTTTACAATGTCACCATCGCAAGTTCCTGTCGTTTATTGTTGGATGTTTGCAGCAGCGCGTTGGAGCTGAAACAATGCCGGGCTGTTCTGATACAGAAACGTTACCGGGACAACACAACCCACCCCCCTCAGCGTTTCAGTCTTCAATTAACAGTTAATGAATATGATTAGCGGCGAGGACTTTCCGGTGCCACATGGAGCTCGCTGACATTCAGACTGGTTTCTGAGTGGCATTTAGATTCAGCGCTGTCCTTAAACATGTGGAAAAAGGTCTCGCTTGTGTAAAGGAGCAGCCCGCTGCGGAGCTGATGGGGGGGGGGGGGGGGGGAACAGTGTTCTAGAGAGCTATGTCACCATGGAACGCCTTCAGTGAACTGTCTGAATCCTGAAAATAGAGATTTTAAACATCTGGTCGGGGAAAGAAAGTGGCTATTTGAACCAACATGGACGTTTTCCTAACAGAACCCCTAAATCTAATCTCCAACTAAAAGCAGTGGTATTTCACTTTAAATAACATTCAGTCTAAAACTCTTCTTTTTTTTTCCCTGTTGCATGTAAAGTTGCTCTCTGGGTGATCCCAGCTGGTCCACTTTGTTCTGTGCGGTGTAAGGAGGACGCACTTGGCAGAAACAAGTCCTCCTTGGGATTTTGTGGCAGCTCCGTCGCGGCGACGATGAAGAGGAGGAGGAGAAGGTCAGGGCTGCGTCTCAGCAGAAGAAGATCTCTCCATCGGCGTACTGGGAGTCTGCGAGGAGGAGAACAGAGGAGTCATCGAGAGGTGCACCGTCACTGAGCTCCAATAAACATCTGTCAGCAGCTGCCCCGGGGAGCGGCTCGACGTGTTCAGCTGGCTGCAGATTTTAAACGCGCCTCTTACGTGTTTCGATGGTTCGAGTGAAACGTTCCCTCGGCTTACCGTGTTTCTGATCTGTAAACACAGCGAGGCGTCGAAACGCAACATCCAGCTCATTTCAGAAGCTCCTGCTCAGACTCACAGGCTGAAATGTAGGACAGCTGAATAATTCACTTTCCTGACTAATTTAATATTGCGACAAATGCACGCAGCGTCTCAGTGACCCCGCATGAAACACTAATCAGATCTGAGCGTGTCCATGAGAAGAGGAGGAAACTGCAGTTTGCTGCTGCTTGAACAGACGTCTGAAGCTGAAACATTTATCTAGAGGTCAAAGAGGGTCCGTTCTTTATTTTGGTTTATTTTACACATCTGTCCTAAAACAGCAGGCCGGCTCCATGCAGACACGACACTGAGCTGCCTTGCTGCAGTCATCCTTTGTGTCGGGCCGCAGCACTGACAGGTCGCCTACTCATCCTCTGATGGATGAAACCCGCTCTAATATCCATCGGCCTGAAGTTTAACTTGAATTTATTTCCAAAGTTCACCCCCACCCCATCTCCTGTGTGAAGGTCAAGACGTCTGACTTAATCAAATCAAGAGGAAAGTGGAACTACTAAAATAATAACGACACCGGTGGGGGGGCTGCTGGTTAAAGCAGAAAATGACAAATCTGAATAAATCATTGCTGTTTTGAGACGCGCTGCCCCAGAAATGAAGAAAATGACATTTTAAATGGAGATATCTTCTAAAGGGCAGCGCTGCTCAGTTGGCAGAGCTGCCGCCTCTCAGCGAGAAGGTTGCCGGATTAAATCCAGGCTGGGGACCTTCCTGGGTGGGGTTTGCATGTTCTCTCCGTGCATGCGTGGGTTTAAAACGTGCATGTTAGGGCGACCGGTGACGCTAAATTGTCCCTAGGTGTGAGCGAGAGAGTGGATGGTTGAAAACTGGTTGAATGGGACTACGGTAGAACTAAAACTGCTACACAAAGACACATTAGAAGTTTATTTTGTACAATAAAGCACTCTTCACTGAGTTTATCGTGACTTTTCAGAATAAAGGTATCTGACCGGGCTTTTCCATTGTCCTTAATTCACTTGTGTGAGCTGCAGAGGTGAGCAGCTGTGTCATTTGAGTTTTAAACATGTTTAAAATAACTGTGCGACAACTTTACTCTCAAAAATAATCAGTCATGAGGGTGTCTCTAAATCTTCTCAAATCCACCTGACTTGGGATGTGGATGGTGCGTTTCTTCCCGTAGGAGCAGCACGGGAGCTGTCCTCAAACAGAAAACATCAAAACTTCATTTTAAAGGTGCACTGCAGCAGATCAAAAAGTAAACATAAGGGCGACGGCTAAAGTGGATGCAAAGTGTATATGTCGATGGCTAGTGATACAGTTAGCCGTGCACACAAAAACAGGCACCGATTGTGAAAAACGTGTTGCTCTAGACGAGGCTTCACATTTCTTGGAAAGAGAAAATTCACCAAATCATCAACTGGTTCTCGAACAGTGGCAGCCCAGACAGACACTACTTGAAGAGTTTGAGTTCTTCAAGTAGAAATCGTCTGCATCATGTGCAGATTGTTTACAACTTTGTTTACGTTGGTGATACTGAAGTTTTTCGTGAGCTTAGCTTTGAATTCCAGAGTTTGAACTTTAACAAATGCAACACTTTCATTACAACATTTTTCAGACCTGACTGAAAAATGTTGGATTGTATACCTGGATTATTGAGCCTGGACTTTGTTGTTAACACTTTCATTACTTCCAGCAGTTTTCAGTAACTCTGTAAAGTTTACTGCAGTCACTTCTCTCTCACTCCAGAAGTTCTGATTATACTAGAAAGTCTAAACCATGTCTGTGGGTCCAACAAAGTTCAGTCAGGTCATCTGGATGATTTATTTTTTTGCTGAGACGTTTCTTCCTTCATCCAAAGAGCTTCATCAGGAGCCACAACAAACTGAATCCCACAAGCGGCACACTCACATTGTGAACCAACCAGTTTGCTGGTGGTAAGATGGTTTCTGGGGCCCGTCCCCTCCCCCATCGACTCCTCTGAGGCAGCCATAGCCAAAGTGGATGGAGTCCTTTGGATGAAGGACAAAATGTCTCAACAAAGAAAAAAAAAAAAAGAAACCGTCCAGATGACCTGACCGAACATTGTTGGGTTTGTACCTGGATTATTGAGCATGGACTTTGATGTTTTGAACCACTATGACTATGGCTGCCTCAGAGGAGTCGACGGGGGAGAGGGCAGGCCCCAGAAACCATCTTATCACAGCAAACTGGTTGGTAAACTATGTGAGAGTGCTGCTTGTGGGACAGTTTGTTGTGGCTCCTCTGACTGATGAAGTCCTTTGGATGAAGGACACAATGTCTCAACAAAGAAAAAAAAAAAAAGAAACCGTCCAGCTGATCTGACTGAACTTTGTTGGATGTTTTATCTGGATTATTGAGCGTGAACTTTGACATGTCTGTGGGTGTTACAAACATTCAAGAGCGCTCCCAAACCAAGTGACAAATACAGACCGGTTTAATTTAATAAACAGAGTCGTTAAGTAGAAACTCATTTTACCGTTAAAGTTGTACTTCCAGTCAGAGGACAGTCTGTCAGTCCATCAGACGGATGTTTACCCACACGATGAGTCCATGTGAGATGGTTTTAATGTTTGTAATCTTTTTTTTAATTGTCTGGCTTCATCCGTTACATTGGACGAGCCATCACTGCTCTCTACTAAAACAAAAACTGAATAATTCTCATGATGAGCTGCAGTTAAGGGCTCATTAACAACAACAAAAACATTATTTTTGTCCTAAACCAGGTGCTAGCTTCATATATATCACATATTTAACAGCAGAGAAACTTAGATAAGAAGAACGTTGAATCCATCCTCGAAGACAAAATGCTTCCCTTGAACTTTTTATTATCGACAGTTCAGGAGAAATCAAATATTGAGAAACGTTTGTCCTCTCAGGAGTTTCTCTGATGTACGTAGACATCCCTCATGTTCACAAATCGTTTCATTCTCTGAGTCTCAGGGAAGAAAAAAAAACATGAACTGCAGTTTTCTATCATCTTCAAACCACAGCAGAAATGTGAATCCATCTTTTTAGGGCTGCTGGTTGGTAATATTTTTACTGCTGGACTACCCAGCATGCATTGCTACATATTTTTTTGTCAGGAAACCTTGGAGGTGTGCACTCTAACAGGCCCGGCTTGTCTTTGTGAAAACAGCTGCAGACCTGGCATATTCATCCCTCTGCTTTATCTCCTGCCGTCTATCCTTCTTTTCAATAAAAATGAAACTCTGTGTCTGACGTGAAGTGTCCTTGACGATAAAAAAGCCTCCACTTCAGCCCACTGACTCACTGTAAAACACTTAATAATTCATCTGAATGCATCTGCTGCCTCCATCCTCTACCTGCTGCCTGCGTGCTCCCTCCTTTGCTCTTCTTCTTCTTCTTGCCGTCTTTGTTCTTGTTCTTGCCGAGCTGCAGGAAGCTCTTGGAGATTTGGTTGTTGGCGTCGCTGCTCTTGAGGTTAGTGGCGGACAAGGCGAAGGGGTTGAGGCCTTTCCCTTTGGTTTTGGAGCGCTGGGGCTGCAGCCGGGGCAAGGAGGAGGAGTACGAGGAAGAGGAGAGCTCCAGAGGGTCCAGCTCCAGCGACTGGGAGCTGCCCGCAAACAGAGACTCGTCGGATGTTGTAGATGGAGTTCTCTGAAAAAAAAAACAAATACAAAAAACAAACAGGAAGGAGGTCAGCTGCTACCTACATCAGTGGGTGAATATACACGAGAGGTGCCTGTTTGGATGGTTTCCAGTAAATTCAGAGGGATTTTAGAAGAGTTCATGGTGGAAAAACGAAAAACTAGTCTGCTTGTACAGACTTTGGAAATCTATTTGGATGGTCTCTGCTCCATCTGGTTTTATTCACTTTGAAGAAAACCTGAGTTCAAGCCTCTGTTGTCCCTGCAGGAAGCATCACACACCAACCCTGCTGAAGCACCATCGAGTAAAATCTCTGCACCCCTCCCAGCTGTCTGAGTCCTCACCTGTAGCATCAGGGCCAACAGGGAGAGGCACTTTTCTCCCATCAGGATCAGTAGAGTAATTTAATCTTTTTAAGGCCTTCCTGCTCACCTCAGACAGACGGAGCTCCTCCATCTTGTCCATATGCCGCCGCACAGTGTCCCTGTCCCTCTCCAGCTTCCTCTGAGCGTCTCTCAGCCTCTCCAGGTCTTTCTGGTACTCGTCCTTTCTGCTCTGCAGCTCCTGCTTCTCCTCCTCCAGCTCCTTCTGCTGCTTCTGTATCTGCTCCTCCTGCAGCGGATGGAGATTCAATTCAGTTCAGTTCAGTTTAATTATATAGCGCCAACTCACAACAGAAGTTATCTCAGGGCACTGAACAGAAACATATATATATATATATAAATATATATATTTATTTAAATATATATATACATAGATATACATATAAGTAAGTTAATAACACTATCTGAGGAGCAGACTGCTTTGAGTTTAACTTCATCACAGACTCTCATCTTGAGCATGAAGGCGACAGTGGAAAGGAAAATCTCCCTCATGAGGAAGAAACCTTTAGCAGACTCAGGACAAGTGGCCATCTTCTTTGACAGGTTGGGTTTGAGAGGAACAGGAAGGAGGAACAGATACACAATGGCAGGTCAAGAATCACATGTTAAGATAGAAATAGTATGAAATGAAAACTATTCAATTTTAACAGTTCATTTAAGGAAATGAGGTCAGTTTGTCCTCTAGTAGTCTAATCCTATAGCAGCATAACAAGCCAACCATAACTATAGGATTTATCAAAAAGGAAAGTCTTAAGTCCAGTCTTAAAACTGGACCATGTGTCAGCCTCACAGACAGAAACTGGAAGTTGGTTCCACAAGAGAGGAGCCTGATAACTGAAAGATCTTCCTCCCATTCTGCTTTTGGAAACTCTAGGAACCACAAGTAAGCCTGCAGTCTGAGGGCGAAATGCTCTGTTAGGAAAATATGGAACAATAAGATCTCTAATATAAGATGGAGCTAGGTTGTTGAGAGCTTTGTAGGTTAGAAGTAAGATTTTGAATTCTATTCTGGATTTGACAGGGAGCCAATGGAGAGAAACAAACTGGAGAGATATGATCTCTCCCACTAACTCCAGTTAAGACTCTGGCAGCAGCATGTTGGATTAACTGAAGACTTTTTAAAGAAGTATCTGGACACCCAGATAAACCATTGAAATGGTCCAGTCTAGACTTGACAAATGCATGAAGCAGTTTTCCCACATCATTTTTAGATAAGACACCATACCAATTTATTTATAGAGCACTTAAAACAGCAACAAGGCCAACCAAAGTGCTGTACAATAGAAACAAACAAGCACAGCGGACAGGAAAACATCAAATAAAAATATAGATGCAAATAGCAGCAGGTAATAACTAAATGGCCAACACTCTAGTCTACAGACAGGATCAAAACAAATCACACTGTGTCAAAGGCAAGGGAATAAAAGTGGGTTTTCAAGCGAGACTTAAAAACTGTGAGTGTGGGAGCCTGCCTGACAGGCAGTGGCAACTCATTCCACAGTCTTGGACCTGCAACAGAGAAAGCCCAAAGGCATTTCTAATTTTAGTGATATTACGCAGGTGGAAGAAGGTGGTTCTAGTAACGTTTTTAATGTGAGGGATAAGCAAGCTGCCTGCCACAATAAATACAAACATGGCTAAAACTCAGACAATTTGACAAATATTAAGTTAAAATCTAGGGTGGTAGTAGCTCAGAGTGTTTCCCATCACAGACACAGTGCTACTAGATCACATGACGCCTTTGTTTAAAATTCAGCTCGCAAATTAACAGGACGAGGGAAGAAAGTTCTGGGAAAGAGTTGTAGGAGTTTAAAGCACGAAATGCAGTCTGGTTACAACAAAGCTCTGCAGGAGGCATTGCACAAAACTCCTCTGTAATCCTTCAGGTGAAAACCCCTGAGGGGGTGAACCACGTCGGCATCGAATCATCCCACAGTATGAAAATAAATGGAGGCGGTTATATTAAGAATTACATCTGCTCCGAGCTTAACGAGGAGCGTTGTCGAAGGAAGACGAGGCATCGTTACCTGTAAGTGCACCAGCTCCTCCTTCTGAGAGAGATGCTGCTCCCTGCGCTCCCACTCCTTCTCCCTCCTCCTCCTCTCCTCAGCATGAGCCGTCTGTTGTCTCTGCAGGGATGTCAGCTCCTGCCGGTGCTTTTCCAGGCTGCGCTGCTTCTCCTGTTCAATCAGGGAGCTGGGCCGCGAGGAGTGCCGTGACAAAGATGCACAAGACGAGGAGCGCTCACTCAGCACCTGCCGCTGATCCTCGATGTAGCTGTCCTGCTGGACCACCACGGCCTGGAACAGACGGAGGCACACCGACCACGTTACACACACTTCCTGCTAATCCTGTGTGTGTGTGTGTGTGTGTGTCTACGTTCTAATTTTGTCCCATTTCTTTCACACAAGAGGAGAGTTAGTCAAATTCACAGTGACAGCTAAAAACTTGAGAGTGCTGCATCGTGTCATTTCTGATCTGCAGCACGTGTACGGGAGCCGGCGTACCTGCAGAGAGCTGAGCAGGAGATGCAGGTTGGAGACACTGTGGAGAACCTGCTGTTGGAAGAAAGAGAGAACAATGAGTGTCATAGGACCTCGGAGCACCCTGCTGTGTTCTCATTACCGAACACACAGGAGAAAATTCCCTACAGCTCGCTGCAGAAGGCTCTTCATGTTGAATTCCTTTTGCTGCTGCCGACTTTTACATGCATCATTTATGGCAGCGGCGCTTTGTGCAAGTGGACTTCAGGATCAAAACTGTAACAGACTGCGAGCTTAGAATGTGACATTTTCTCCTTTAAAGCGTCGACAAGAAGACTTGGCCGCTGACCTTTTCTCTGCAGCCTGCATGCTAAAACGATGTGGGAACTGCTTTTCCAAACACAACGCGTTTAGACGCAAAGTGCTGGCATGACACAAACACAATAAACTCCATGTGACAAGTAGAAGACACAACACACCAGACACGATGAAAAGAATGACTAGAAAATTCATGTGATATTGATAAACAGTAGTCCCTCGCTACTTCATGGTTCGCCTTTCGCGGATTCGCTCTTTTGTGGTTTTTCAAAGTAAGATCGTACATGAGGACAAAATAAATAAACAAAAATAAAAATTGTACACGACACGATTGTCAACTTCTATATTACTCACGTGACTGGGACAGTAAGGGATACTGTACAGTAAAAAGTAAACGAAAAAATAAAATACTTCGGACAGGAGTCGCCATTTTGTAGTTTTCTCTCAATAAGCCTATTGAACTCAAAACGACTACATTTCCCAGAAGTCAACAGTGCCCCACCCAGAAGCTTGTTGCTTCTGCTGAAATACGTAGAGGGCAAATTTTTGAAGAACCAAAAAAGTTCAGTCCTTATTCAAACAATGACTTCGGCACCCAGCGGATTCAGAGCCACATGGAACCCACCGGGAACTGGACCAGAACCGGAACACCAGACTCATCAGTGAATCTGAGAGCCACCCGTCGGCCCACAAGGTCTTTGGAGTGGAGAGACGCTGCCCAGAGGTCCAGCGTTCTCTCCAGAGCCCATAGGGACTTCCCCCATCCAGATTTGGACTCAATTGGACCAGTGGTCCCGTGCTGGCCATCTGAAGGCCTGGCTCTCTCCAAAATGTGTTTCGGTTCTCAAGGGCTGCACAGAGCCGACCAGAACCAAAGCAGAACCAGACATCTAAACTCATCGGTAAATCTGAGAGCTGCTTGCTGGCCCACGAGGACTTCCGAGTAGGGAGGCGCCGACCAGAGTTCCAGCATTCTCTCTGGAGCCCACTGGGACTACCCTGAGCCAGAGAGCTGACCAGAACCGGCAGGGTAGGTCTGCCAAACAGAACCGAGCTGCTGCTCTGCAGAGCTGGTGAGTAGAATTTAGTATCTACGAACACAGTACTGTACGTATGTTGTTATGATGCAGGTGTAAGAGTTTAGAACATTGCAAGAGTGTGAGAAGCATTATAATATATAAAAATACTAAAATAAATATAACGTTGCTAATTTGCACATTTTCACTTATTGCGGGGGGTCCAGAACATAACCCCCAGAATAAACAAGGGACTACAGCAAACTTTAAAGTTGCTTCTTTTTCTTTTTTGTCATTTGCTTCAGGAAGCCTGAGCTAATTCTGCATCTTCTCCATGACTTAGCAAAGCGTTTTGAACAGCTCACACGACTCTGAAACATGATCTGCAGTCTGACTGCTCAGCTGATGACGGCAACAACGATGTTGACACGGAGTGTTGACTGTTTCCATGACAACGGCAGCTCGGAGTGAAATTAGAGACAGGAAGGTGATGTTACCTCACTGTCCCTCCTCAGCAGCTGCAGCAGGTTGGCGTTTCCTCCCTGCACACAAACAAGAACACACACTGAGTGAAGCGCACGCACACACACACACACATTTTCAAGCTGTTTTGAGGTGTGAATGTGATGAAGGTTGCACACAAAGTTGTGCAGTGAACTCTAACCGTGGCTATGATGGTATATGAAACACAGCAGACCTGCAGCATTTTGTTCTACATTAAAGGTGCAGCGTTCCTTGAACGAAGGCGTATCGCCCGCTGCCTGTTTTAGACTAAATCCCCCCTACGATGGGAAATGATGGAGCTGTAGCTGTTTTGGTCAAACCTTGAAAACAATGCTGTGCACGATCTCATGCGATGCCGTACTCCGAGGATTTGTTGTGAATGACTCTCAGCTACCATCATCAGATTTCAGCTCAGTATCTCTAAATCTGAGTGAATTATGGCCATTTTTGATCTTTCCAAAGTCGTCTGGTTGTGGTGGCCATCTTCTATTGGCTTAGCTCCATCAGTTAATCAGCTGCAGAGGCATTCCAGGGATTATTTCCTAGAGATTTCTTTAAAATCTTCCCAGCAGTTCGTTGATAATAAACAGACAGAGTTGACTCCAATAAATTTGTGGCAAATTTTGAAATAAAGATTTTGCGTAATCTGATAGGATCAAGAATATGTTTTGGTATCAGTCTCAGCTACCACCACAACAAATTTCCCCATAATGCGTGTAAAGATCACTGAGCTATAGCCATTAATTAATATTAAACGTTAATCAGTTGAAGATGTACACCTAATGATTACATTCTATGAGTTTCATTGAAATTCAACCAGTGGTTTATAAAATATTTTGCTAACGGAAACGCACAGACAGACACATGCAACATTATTGCCTTTTATTGGTGGATAATAACTACGCTAAAGACCGACATAAACAAATCCACGGTGAGCAGAAGGTGGACTCCTTGTGCTAACTCTGTTCATGTTCATACCGCTCCTTCCTTCACTGCTGCTCACTCCTTGAACTCTGACTCACTGCCTGGGATGAAATGTTCAGAAAAAGGCAAATGTTTCCCTTTTGTTCTGCTCAGAGAGCAGGACTTGCACAGAGCGGGCCAGCTGCCACAGAGACACTACATTATTTTGCTGAACAGAGCAGCTCGGGCAGTCGAGCAACAAACGGAGCTGCTGAAAATCTGCAGAATAACGAACGAGGAAAAGCTGTTCTGTGCTGGAGGCGTTACAACAAACAGGACTCGTTCATTCATTCACATCCACCACTAGAACAATATTCAGCTGACGGTCGTCAGCGGCAACAAGACCTGACAGGAAGAGTCAAGAGGCTAATTCACCGGAGATGGGCAGCTACCGTACTTTTTGGACTATAAGGCGCATTAAGCAAAAGAAAACAGATGAGTCAAACTTTATTCGACTCATTCACGATAACCACATAAAATCAGTTTGAGGTCAGTAAGCACAACCAGAATTAATACATAAGGTGCACCGGATTATAAGGCTCACTGTCAATTTTTGATAAAATTAAATGATTTTAAGTGCTCCTTATAGTCTGAAAAATACGGTAAATTGATCTTAAAGGTGTTGTTAATGCAGGAGGACAAACGCACCCCCTGCACATGCCCTAATGCTCTCAGAGTTGAGACCAAGCAGATCCTGAGGTACTGACCTTCTTTAAAACGCCGTCGGACTCCGTCCTACGCAGGTCTCCAGCCGCCTCCTCGCTCTCGTCTCTGTCTCCACCTGGCGTGAAAGGAAACCACGAGAGAAACGGTCAGTAAATGACGCACACTCAGGAGGTGCACTGTGAGAACCTGGGCACAATAATCGTCCGAAACACTAAAACTGAGCTGAGAACGTCTCATTTAATGTCCAGAGCGGGTAATCACTTGTTAGATGGAGATGACACAGCAGGCAGGTCGATACGTGCGCTGCAACCTCAGGCAGGTCAGCACCCACCCACTAGGAGAAAAATCGATTGTTTCCACAGAAAATCTACCTTCATGTTTGCCCCTCTTTACCTCGCAGACTGGGAAAATCTAAAAAAGTTAATAAAGTTTTATTGGATTTTCCAGTTAAGCTGCTATGCTTGCTTACTGTACAGATAAAAGACAAAAGAAAACAACGAGCTGTTAATATCACATTTACACACAAAGTGCTTATTGATGTGGTTAGAATCCTGCCTGCAACACTTTGTGACTCAAAAACCCGCATATTTAACTTGATGAAACATTTCAGGTTCCTTCAGTCAGTAAACTGTGAGCTTCTGTGACCGCCAAGTTAACTGTTAGCTGTCAACAATAACCACAGATGGACTGATGTCAGCATCAGCTGTGTGCAGTGTTCTGTCTCTCTGCCACACCTGCAGAACTCTGAGAAAATCTATGGAGGCTGAAGATTTTTACAATTCAGTGCTTTAAAGATGAACTGCTGCTGTTTATCCAACATTTTTCAGTCAGGTCATCTGCACAGTTTCTATTTTTTTGGGGGGGACTTTGTTGTTTTCAACCAGTTTGACAAGACTGTAAACAAGGAAGAGGGCTGGTAATGGAGGAGGGGGCGTACCAAAGAGACCATCTTATCACAAGCAGAACTGGTTTGTTCCACTTTGGAGTAAGCTGTTGGGGGAAGAATCAGTTTTGTTGTGTGTTTCCTTGACTGATGAAGCCTTCCGGACAGAAGGTGAAACGTTTCAGCACAAAAAAAAGAAACTGTCCAGATGACCTGACTGAAACATGTTGGATAGTATACCTGGATTATTGAGCATGGACTTTGTTGCTGCTGTTTATGTTAAAATGTGAGTCCTTTAGAGAGCTGAGCAACCATGTCCTGACACAGGGCAAGCTTTTAATTTACTGTATTTTCCGGAGTATAAGTCACATCAGTCAAAAAAGCATCATGAAAAGGAATATATATATATATATATATATATATATATATATATATATATATATA